GCGGAGTCGCGAAATAGACGAGGGGGAAGAGAGCCTCTGGATTCGCGTAGATCGTGTAATTCAAGTCGGCGAACTCTAGCTTCATGAGGTGCTTGAAATGCTCCGTTGAGTGCTGGCCCGTCAGGAGCTTCATGTGGTACGTGGCTGGGTTCCCCATCATCACGAAAGTGGCGTAGAACGCGAGGCTGTCTGGGTTCGTGAACTTCGCGATATTGGTCGAGAGGGCGTGGGTCTCGATGAGGTGAGGCTGGTTGTTCGAGAAAAGGAACGGCATCGTGATGAGAGGTGGCGGGTCCAGCTTCTTGGAGCACGCTGTCCAGTGCATCCTGTAGTAGTCGCGTAGCGTCTCCTGCACGGGGTGGGGGGAGCGTCGTCTGCTGCTCGTAGTTGTGGCGACCGTGGCACAGCTGCTTCTCAGTGTCCTCCATCAGGCGCGAGGTGCCCGCACGCTGGAGCACGCGCCTCGAGACATCGCGGCACTGAGAACGGGGTGGATGCCTTGTGTGGCCCTCCGCCTCTGGGCTCGGCGGAGAGGGCTCTGGCTGGAGGCCGCTGAGTCTCCGAAAGGCCTGAGCGGGCGGCGGCCTTTGATGATGCTGATGGTGATGATGATGATGACGACGACGACGACGACGAGGACATGCGCAGGGCAGAGGCAGGGATCGGAGGAGGGAGGAGGGGGAAGGAGGAAGAAAGGAAGGAACGAAAGAAGGAAGGAACGCGGGGACCGTCTTTTCAAAACGAGGGCCCAACACCACAGGATGGCTGGGGAAAAATGTGCGCGACGCTAAGGCGAGAGCGACATGTTGAAAACCACCCGCCCTCCATCTGTGAAGCTGTTGTCAATGTTTCAGCCTCAGAGTCATGTGAGGAAGTCTCAGGCGAAACGCCCGGCCCGCTCTAAAAACTGGCCTCGAGGTGCGACAGGGAGAAGATACTTATGAGGAGAAGGAATGAAGGAGGAGGAGGAGGAGGAGCAGGAGGAGGAGGAGGAGGAGGAGGAGGAGAGGAGAAGAGGAGGAGGAGGAGGAGGAGGAGGAGGAAGAGGGTGAGGAGGAGGAGGAGAGGGAGGAGGAGGAGGAGGAGGAGGAGGAGGAGGGGGGAGGAGGAGGCGGGAGGAGGGAGGAGGAGGAGGAGTAGGAGGAGGAAAAGGAGGAGAGGAGGAGGAGGAGAAGGAGGAGGAGAGGAGAGGGAGGAGAGGATGAGGGAGCAGGAGGAGGAGGAGGGAGGAGAAGGAGGGGAGGAGGAGGAGGAGGAGGAAGGGGAGGAGGAAGAGGAGGACGAGGCAGGAGGAGGGGGGGAGGAGGAGGAGGTGGAGGAGGAGGAGGAGGGGGGAGGAGAGGGGAGGAGGAGAAAGAGAGAAGGAGTGAGGAGGAGGAGGAGGAGACGACGAGGAGGAGGAGGGGCAGGAGGAGGAGAGTGGGAGGATTAGGAGGAGGAGGAGAAAGAGGGAGGAGGAGGAGGACGAGGAGAGGAGGTAGATTGGGGGAGGAGGAGAGAGGAAAGGAGGAGGAGGAGGAGGTAGGAGAGGAGGAGGAGGGGGAAGAGGGGGGCAGGAAGGAGGGGAGGAGAGAGCAGCAGCAGTCGGAGGAGCAGGAGGAGGAGGGAGGAGGAGGAGGAGGAGGAGGGGAGGAGGAGGAGGAGGAGGAGGAGGAGGAGGCGGAGGAGGAGGAGGAGGGGGAGGAGGAGAGGAAGGAGACACGGATGGGAGCTGTTGGATGGCGCGTCGCTGAGGCGGGGGGGCAAGGACAGGGAGAGGGGGGAACTGGCACGGAAGGGAGCATCGGCTGGGAATCGGCGATGCATCGCCGAGATAGATCGGCGACAGGCACCCGACATTGAGTCCGCACGTTCCTGGATCCTGGACGGGTGTGGGCTATCGGGCCCTTCGACGATGACCAGACAATTGGGGGTCGATGCATCCCCCGTCTAGCTTATTAGCCTATGCCTATCCCCCCATCGCTGCCCCTGAGTAGCGGTGGCGGCCCCGACGACATCGCTCCGCCACGCGGGGCTGGAGGCTGGAGAAAGCTTGGGGCGTTGACGGCTGGGGACTTGGATGTGGAGATAGATTGGCGCGCCGAAGCGGGAGCGTGGTGGGCCAGAACCCGCGGAGCGACACGCTGACCGACAGCACCCGACCGAAAGAGGACGGGAGAACAACATGTGAATAAGCTCCTGGATTCCCGCGCGGATCTCTTAGGTCCGGTGCTGGGCCTTCTACAGTCGGCCCGTATCATAAGGACGCGCGATTAGGATGCAATGGCCTTGGACGCCCATTTCGAAGCTTCTCGAGCGGGGCGCGGCCAGCGAGAGTGGCCAAGGATGGACCGAGGAGGCAAGGATGCAAGGGTACCCGTGGGAAGATTGTCCACCCTTACTATCGGGGGCGCGCAAACATGGATTAGCGATCCATGGATTTGGCGCGCGGTCGCCAAATCCCAAAATGCGGCTGGTGCCTCCTCGTTCGGCGGCGGAAATCCGCGATTTCTCATGGAAACGGGACCCGTCGCTGATCCACGCCCCCAATTGGTCCATGTTTGCGATCGCCTGATAATATGCGGGTTGACTGTACTCTCGCGCCTCCCGCGGTCCTGCCCCCGAGGAGTAAAACAAAAACCCCAAAAGCATGAGAACGTCCACTTCCGCAGGCCCGCGCGGAGTGCACTTGGGTCCGGTGCTGGCCCCTCCCCCCCTGGGGCGGCGCCGCCCCAGGGATGCAGCGTCGATCCCCAAGAAACCCGCGAGGACCTCCATGTAAATGAACGCTTGTGCTGCCGCTCCTCCTCGCGGAGAGGCGCGCGGGATGCGCGAGAGCACGGCCGGCCCGTGTCACAAAGGGTGCGCGATGAGGACGCAAGGGCCTTGGACGCCCATTTCGAAGCTCCTCGAGCGGAGCGCGGCCACACCGAGGAGGACATGATGCCAGGGTGCCCTTGGGAAAGATGCCCATCCTGATCATGCGGGTCCAGGAAGCGCCACGAGGCGCAGCGGCTGCCCTGTCGGTGGGCGTCAGCGGCATCCGCCCGCAGGGGTGCCGTGGCCAGGCCGTTGCTGGGTTCAGGGCCGCCGCGCAAGCCTCCCTGGCCAGGGCAGGAGGGAGCACGCACCGATCCTGGACCCACGTTGGGCCCCGCCAGGGTCGGCGCAGGCGCGTGCTGCTGGCGCCCTCCGACACCCTGATCGGAGCGAGGGCCCAACCACCCTCCTCCTCCTCCTCACCCTCCCCCTCCTCCTCCTCCTCCTCCTCCTCCTCCTCCTCCTCCTCCTCCTCCTCCTCCTCCTCCTCCTCCTCCTCCGACTGCTGCTCCTCCTCTCCTCTGCTCCTCCTCCTCCTCCTCCTCCTCCTCCTCCTCCTCCTCCTCTTCCTCCTTCCTCCCCCTGCTCCTCCTCCTCCTCTCCTCCTCCTCCTCCTCTCCTCCTCCTCCTCCTCCTCCTCCTTCTCCTCTTCCTCCTCAGCCCTCCTCCTCCTCCTCTTCCTCCTCCTTCTCCTCCTCCACTCCTTTTCCTTCTAAATAATTTCTCCTTGTCGCACCCCGAGGCCAGTTCTTAGGGCGGGCCAAGCGTTTCGCTGGTGACTTCCTCACCATTGATGAATCTGAAAAGTAAAGAATGGCAACATATTCACAAATGGAGGGCGGGTGGTTTTCAAAATGTGGTTCTCGCCTTAACGCCGCGCACATTCGTTTTAGAAATTTGCAAGAGCTTCACGGATTGAGGGCGGGTCGTTTTCAAAATCTGGTTCTCGCCTTAGCGCCGCGCACATTCGTTTTCAAAAGTTGCCAGAGCTTCGCGGATTGAGAGCGGGTGGTTTTCAAAATGTGGCTCTCGCCTGAGCGCCGCGCACGTTCGTTCTAAAAAATTGCAATGACCTTCACGGATTGAGGGCAGGTGGTTTTCAAAATGTGGCTCTCGCACTAGCACCGCGCACATTCCAAGAGCTTCACGGATTGAGAGCGGGTGGTTTTCAAAACGTGGCTCTCGCCTTAGCGCCGCGCACATTCGTTTAAAACATGTGCAAGACTTTGGCGGATTGAGGGCGGGTGGTTTTCAAAATGTGGTTCTCGCCCTAGCACCGCGCAAATCCGTGCTAAGAAACTTGCAGGACCTTCACGGATTGAGGCCGGGTGGTTTTCAAAATGTGGCTCCCGCCTTAGCGCCGCGCACATTCGTTTTCAAAAGTTGCCAGAGCTTCGCGGATTGAGAGCGGGTGGTTTTCAAAATGTGGCTCTCGTCTTAGCGCCGCGCACATTCGTTTAAACAAGTGGCAGGACCTTCACGGATTGAGGGCGGGTGGTTTTCAAAATCTGGTTCTCGCCTCAGCACCGCGCACATTTGTTCAAACAAAAATTGCAAAAGTTACACGGATTGAGGGCGGGTCGTTTTCAAAATGTGGCTCTCGCCTTAGCGCCGCGCACATTCGTTCTGAAAAATTGGGGAATTTCACGGATTGGGAGCGGGTGGTTTTCAAAATTTGGCTCTCGTCTTAGCGCCGCGCACATTCGTTCTAAAACTTTGCAAGAATTTTAGGGATCCCCATGATCAACGTACCAGACATGACGTTTTGGAAGGATTCAGCATTATGCGCGTACAACAATTATATTTTGCGGTGTTGAAGTCCCAAGTATGGCGTTCTGGCACGATGTCAGATCGTCTGGACGCACAGTCAGGTTGATCCGTGGCGTGGAAATCCCGAGAACAATATTTTGGCATGCTTCAAGGTCGTCAAACGGTTGTCTTCCAACGAGGCAATTCCCTTAATGGAAAGGAACCGCTGTCTGGGGCCTATGAAGAGGGAGCTTGTAGGGAGGGTGAATTCCAGCATCGTTGATGCCTTTTGGGTTTACACTGGTCCTCCTCCTCCTCCTCCTCCTCCTCCTCCTCCTCCTCCTCCTCCTCCTTCTCCTCCTCCTCATCCGCCTCCTCCTCCTCGTCCTCCTCCTGCTGGGCCCGGAGCAAAGAACCTCGGCGAGGGCGGCAAAAAACCCGTGGGCGCCGTC